GGTCCCTTGTGGCCTCTCTCCATGGAGCAGACTCAGACCACCTCCATTGCCCTGGAAGAGTACACGGCAGCAGCCTGGACTCACTGGCTCTACACACAAACTTTACTCCTTGAAATGGTTTGGCTGTGTCCCCACCCCAATCTCATCTTGAATTACAGATTCCACAATTCACGTGAAGGACCCAGTGGAAGGTAATTGGATCATGGAAGAGGGCCTTTCCCATGCTGTTCTCATGACAGTGATTAAGTCTCATGGTATCTGATGGTTTTATAAGGAGGAGCTCCCCTGCAAAAGTTCTCTCTTGCTCACTGCCATGTAAGAACTACCTTTGCTCTTCCTTCATCCTCTGCCCTGATTGTGAGGCCTCCCCATCTGTGGAACTGTGAGTCCATTAAACCTCTTTTGCTTTATAAATTATCCAGTCTCAGGTATATGTTTATTAGCAGTGTGAGAACGGGCAAATATATCCCTTCTCTACACACAAATACAACACTTACTTTGTAGCAGGCAATATGCGCTACTTTACCCAACAGCTCTGCCAAGTAGCAGTGGTACCCGCATATTACAGAAGGTACTTAATCTGGGTGCTGCCCCGAGGTTCCAAATAGACCAGGATTCCAGAGAAGGCTGACTCTAAACAAAATACATGCTGGTTCCGCCCCATCACACAGACCTGCGCCGATGGAAGATCAAAGAGGGGTAAAATGAGCTCAGAAAAGAGCTACAAACACCCATGTGATTTAGAATTGGCAGCTGCTCACAAGTAGTCTAAAAATGCCAACAATTTTATTTACATTTTAAAATCATTAAAATCCAGCATTGTGATAGGATATTATAATAGAAAAACTAAGTCAATACTTCCACCCTCTTTCATAATAACTCAGGAACTTCAGTACTCGAGAACTTCAGTCTGACCTTTAACAGAAAGACAAAAGCACTATTGAAAAAAAAAAAAAGAAACTAGTTGTGAACAGAATGCACCAGAACTCAAACTTGCCAAGCTGTATGCACTTTGGAATTTTGCAGTGTTTAATGTCAAGTGTCCAAAATTGGCCTTGCGGGTCCCTCTGAAATAATACTTCAATATCACTACTACTACCCAGCTCTGTAGGTGGCATATGAGATAATCAAAAGTGCCTGGAAACCACTGCACATTATACAATCCCAGACAGGCCTTTATTAACCCTTTAAAAGCATAAACCAGGAGACTTATCTTAACCAAAATTATCGCAGCAGTCAACCTCCGTTGGCTGAATCACTATGCAAATATCAGGGCTCTGAGTCATTGAAGATTGCTGAAAGGATTTGGTTTAATAAGCATAAGATCTTTTTCCTAGAAATGTAAGCTGTGCTTTAAAAGTGTTCGCAAACTTTGCCCTTAAGATAGCTCTGGTACAGAACTTATGAAGTAAACTTATTATAAATGAAAATGGCAGCCTCCAATTTCAGAATATCCCAAACTACCAAATTCCCACAGTCACTATTCTTCCCTCAGTGATACTAGCAGGAAAAATTTTATATATCTTTGTTCTCACTTTTCAGAGTTAAGGAACTTTACAGTTTACACCTCTCGTGCAAAGCCCTGTCCATTTTCTGAACCATTTTCCACAGGTAAAAAAGAAGTGGAGAAGGATCCTAACACCTAAAATTGAGATGAAAAGTCATGTCTTACCAATTCTTCAAAAAAGAAAAGAAAAAGCAGTACACAATTTAACAGAAAGCCTTTTGCCCAAACTGCTGTCCCTCCAAACTGTTTACAAATATGCTCCTGGAAAGCCAGCTAAGTGGGTACATGATAGTAAGAAATAAATAGTTCTAAGGAACAGATTTAACATTAATGTTATTTCCTTCTCTTACTTTATGTTTTCATCAACCACAGCCAATAAGAACAAAAAACGATTCTCTTATTTCCCATCACCATCCTAGTCACCTTCTCTAGTCATAAATACTCACTGCCAGTTTCGTTTCCAACGTTCTCTGTCATTTACACTGCATTAAGGTTAACAAAGCCTTCGAGTTAAAGAACAGGTTACTCTGGGTGCACTGTCTATAGAGTAGCCCTGCTCTGTAAGGAGCAGTCTAAACAATAACAACAAAATAACAGTAGTAGCTACACAAGCTTGGTTTATCTTTACCCCTCTGCCTAGACCACAGGAGTCATCATCAGCCTTTTTATGGAACAGGCAAGGAGAAGCTTCTCAGCGACTGATTCAAGCCACTGTGTCAAGCAGACCCAGAGAGTACCGCACAGCAATCCTACAGGGTCCCATGCTAGTTGAATGCCCTGCTGTTGCCATCTTGAAATTCTTAATTTTTGAACAAGGGGTCCCACAGTTTCATTTGGCAGTGAGGGCCCTGCAAATTAGGCAGCTAGTCCTGCACAGACCTGACTTTTTTCTTTTTGGTGACATGGGTGTTTTGAAAAATGTTTCATTTTATACCATACCTTACAGGGATTTTACTCTAAAACAACAGATGTTCGTATTTTTTTATACTTTCAAATCCAATAAAGGCAAAGTATCCCTCACCTGTATCACTGCAACAGGTTTCTAGAATTTTATTTTTTTATTTTTTTCTGGATTCACTCTTGCCTACTGTCAGTCTGTCTTTACACGGCCAAAGTTCTTGTCTAGTTCAAGTCTGATCTTGTCACCTGCTTAAAATCCTCCCTCAGCATCCACTGCCCTCAGCATCACGCCCAGTGCCTTTGCCTGAGGTCCAGCCCTGGCTTGAGGCTTGGCCTCACTCTACTTCCTACCTGCTGTGTCTGTACCTCACCAGCCTTCCTTCTGTTTCTAGAACATGCCAGGCTCTCACTTCATAGCCTTTGCAGCTACCCAAAGACAAATATTTTAATGTATGCCCAAGGATTTTGATGAAATCAAGGTGGAACACTTGAATTCAACTAATAGTGATTATTGGCTTTAATTTCTTAAAAGAAACACATGAGGGTTTAAAAGACTCACACTTCTTAGTAAATACTCTTTTCACTCACACTATGATTTGGGATACTTCCCCAGTGGAAAGGATAATAAGCCTCGATCTGACTGTGAAATGTAGGACAGTAAGGGGGAAATGTGGAGAAGGTCAGTTTTAAAGTTTTTCAAATCAGGTTAATCAGGCCTTAAAGGCACCTTCATGACCTTCACTAACCCCTGAAACACAACATTTCAAACAGCTTGGAAGCGTTTGGGGAAAACAAAGTATTAATGAGGAAAAATAAATTATAGGATCACTTTAAAAAAATTTCATGTTCTTTGAAGAGACTTAACTATTAAAGCTGATGAAAGAGTCATATAGAACATAATTATGTAGAAATTTTTCTTGCTCAGAAAAATGAGTAAGTTGCCTACAACTGTTTTCTCATCCAGACAATCACAGATTTCAGTTCTGCCTCTATGTAAATGCTCTGATAGTAAAACTGGTCAAAGGATGTTGGGTGTCCACTCCTACAAGGAGCTTTCTCAGAAGGGTATGTACCTTCCACACTGAGAAGTCATCTTACCTTGATCAGTAGGACGTTCAGCAATAATTTGTCATTCTCCCTACACCAGTCCCTTTAACTAGTCCTTTACCTACCCTTATTCCATTGGCCACAAACCATGCTGCTGGCTTTCCATAAAAGTGTTGAGATAACTAGCTCTCCGTGTGGGAAAAAATTAAATTAGAGTCCTACTATTCATGAAAATATCCCAGATGGACTAACCCTCAAAACACTGCAAAATGTCAACTATTAGAGCATGAGAAGAATATATAGGACAAGGTGTTTATAACCCTGGAGAAAAATGGGCTTTTTAAGCCAGACACAACACAAAGTTCATGATGCCTTTGATATAGTCCAATTTCCCAAAGTTAAAAGACAAGGCCAAGCTGGGAGAAAATATTTGCTATATAACAAAGGATTTGTATTCAGAATACATAAAGAACTACAAACCAATAAAGAGAAGACTTTTTTTTTTTTTAAGAATTAGGCAAAGAACATTAACAGGCAATTCACCAAAAGAAAAATTAAAATGCCCAATAAACATATAAAGAGCGGCCTCGTAAAGAAAAATAAAATGGTGAGATACATGTGTCTTTTTCCTTCAAAAGCATAGTAAAAACATTTAAAGATCAATTTTATAAAATGTTGGCAATGTGTGGCATGTACCTGAGACCCTGTTGGTGAGTAATTTAACCTTCTATTGCACTATTCCTCTATAATCCAACAATTTCACAGGTAAGTCTCTAGTATAGAAACAGACTTGCACTTACACGCGTAATGAGTTTGCTACACTGAAAGTGTTGGCTCTAACACAAGATGCTAGCAATATCAGATACCAAAGTGAGTTAAAAAACCATCTGCCCTGCAAAAAGGAGATAACTAAGAACCAGGCCTGAGTCCCTCTCCCACAGGGAGGGTCAAGAGCAAGATGTGAGGGAGGATTTCTTTGGAAAGAGCTGCGCTGAGATCCCCATTCAGCACCCTCTTCCCACTGGGGAAAGAGTAGGAATATCAGCTTCTTACTTCACAAGCAGAATTTCAATGAGGTCAGGTAGGGGTTTGATTTGAGTGCTCCACCATTAAGGAGATGGAGAGAGCTGCTGGGACCCCTTCTCTGGGGACCTGGAATTTGAGAGGCAGTGTGGCTAGCTGTCCTGGTGGCGTGGGAGTGAAGGGAAATTGCTGCTGCAGTGGGTCTGGGCCATCCTCTAAGAGGCTGTGGGTGTGGGGGCAAAGAGTGCCTGATGTTGTTGGGGTGGCCCTCCAACAAGAATGAGCCAGTCCAGGGCTTTTTCAGGTCCAGTCCTCTAGGGATGTCTGAAAGGGCAACATGACCCAGTGGCAGGACTGGTGATGGGCCCCTGGACTCCCAGAAACTGACATGGATGACAGAGTCTTTGAAGAACCCTCATGAGTACCCCATGAGAGAGTCAGCTTTAAACCTTGACCAGACTTAGAGAATAGGAGGCTGTCTTACCACAATATCTTAGGCAAAAAGATTTTCTGTTACCTCCTACCCCTCTCCCACCCTATCCTCAGAAAAGCATGGCAAAAGAAAAATGCTGACCTGTGTTCTCCAAGATGGATCAAGTAGAAAAAAAAGCAATTTTCATTATAACCTGTATGATATAAAATCCATATGGGTTTTTTCTTTTTATAGTGATAAGGTCTTGCTATGTTGCCCAGGCTGGACTCAAACCCCTAGCCTAAAGCAATCCTCCCAATTCAGCCTCTTGAGTATTTGGGACTACAGACATGGGCCACCATGCCTTGCTTCATATGGTTTGTATTAAGAAACATACTTTATGAACATTTATGTACATAAATACACAGAAAATTATTTTTAAAGACAAAACATGGATAAAAATGGTTGCCCACAATGAACTGAATGCTTATGTCCCTCTCAAATTCCTATCTTGAAATCCTAACCCAGAGCCTGACAGTATTAGGAGACAGGGCCTTTGGGAGGCCATCAGGCCATGAAGGTGGAGCCCTCGTGAATGGCACTAGAGAGATCCCTGGCTCCGTCCACCAGGTGAGATTGTGTGAGCAGACAGCCATCTATGAGGAAGTAGACCCTCATCAGATACCAAATCTACCAAGGTCTTGATCTTGGACTTCCCAGCCTCCTGAATTGTGAGAAATAAATTTCTATTGTTTCTAAGCCACCCAGTTTATGACATTTTGTTATAATAGCCTGGACAAACTAAGACATTATCTCTGTGAAGAGAAGAAGTATTGAGTGGAAGAGGCAGGGTCAAATGAAGAATTCAATTTATCCACATTGTTTTAAAAGACAAAAATATAGTCATGTATTCCTTGAATAATTAGATGCATTTTTTTTTTAAGGACAGTGTTCCCAGGAACAGAGCCTTCTATGGTCTGAATAGGTCCCCCAAGTTTGCATGTTGGAAACTTAATCCCCAATGCAACAGTGTTGGGAGGTGCAGTCTAACGGGAGATGTTTAGGTCATAAGGTCGCTATCCTCATGGGTAGATTAATGCTGCTATCAAAAGAGCTTGAGCTGGCTTGGCCGACATAGCAAAACCCTGTCCCTGAAAAAAAAAATTATATCTGGGCATTGTGGCACACACTTGTAGTCTTAGCTTCTCACGTAGACCACTTCAGCCTAGAAGTTTGAGGTTGCAGTGAGCTATGATCATATCATTGCACTCCAGCATGGGCAACAGAGCAGAGATCCTGTCTCTAAAAAAATTAAGATTAAAAAATCAAAAAGATGAGCGTGCAGGAGTAGGTTCTCTCTCTTCTGCCCCTCTGCCACCTGAGGACATGGTGTTCTCCTCCAAAGGATGCAGCATTTAAGGCACCATCTTGGGAGCAGAGAGACTGGGCCCTGACCTGCTGGTACTTTGGTTTTGAACCTCCCAATTTCCAGAACTGTGAGAGATAAATTTCTGATCCTTATAAGTTACCCAGTCTTGGGCATTTTGTTATAGCAGCACAATACGTACTAATACAGAGCCCATCTGTCAGTCCTAATTACTAAGCATGAATCAGCAAAATTTCTAATCAGCATACACAACACACCTTTGGGCTGTTTTGTAAAAATCTGACTGCCATTTTTCTCTGCCACATGTTTCCATTCAAGAGAATTCTGCATCTGGGGCTTGGATGTCAACTATACACCTCATACTAATTCTTAAAGTATACAAGATTCACAGCTGAAGTGATATCATTTTCTTAATTTTAAGAAATCCTTTATGTGATTTCCTCTATCAGCAAGGAAAGAAAGAAACAGGACTTTATCAGAAGAAAGCTAAGATGGACATGTAGAAATAAGCTGACACATGGAGAATAAAGAATCACATAGCAGTGAACAAAAAGGAGATTAGAACTTGAAATTGCTAAGGTAAAGAGCCCTCCTGTGTGTGCATGTGCACATACGTATTTGTGTACATAATGCAATTTGTTTTGAAAGAGGAGAAACCTAGTACTAAACTGCAGCCTTTGAAATCCAGCAACAAAACTGTACTTTGATTATAAACCAGATATTTTAGGAAAGCTGATATAATCAGTTTGAAGAAATGAGTGAAGAAATTCATGGTTTTGAAATGACTTTTGAAAGGATGGTAAAAGAAGCATCAGTTGTCAAGAAAAGGCTGGGTAAGCTTTCTTTCACACTATTGCAAACATATAGCAGCCTGTATGTTGTACTATTTCTTCCTGAAACTCATTCTAGTCTATGGTATATAACAGGGATTGGCACACGCAGCCTGTGGGTAGAGGATATTTTTTATACTTTTTAATGGCTGGAAAGTTAAAAAAAAAAGAATAGGATAACACATTAGTTTATATGAAAATCAAACTTCATTTTCTATAAAGTTTTATTCAAACTCTGCTGCACACATTTGTTTATGGTCTATGGCTGCTTTCAAGCTATAAGGACAGAGTCCACACAGTCCACAAAACCATCTGGCCCCTTACAGAAAAAGTGTGCCAGTGGCTGTTATAGACTAATCAAACCTTCTTTACTCCTATTTGCATGGCAGAACCATCATGATTGATAGGTGCAAAAAGCAACCATTGAGATTCTTATATATGTTTAAGTGATTACCAGTTGCTCAGAGATGATAAACTGTTCTACATCAGTCCGTCAATTAGTGTTTATCCAAACAGATTTCCTGGGCTAAAGCCACTTCAAAACACCCCTTGACATTGTCCACAGGAAAAAGCAGCCCCTGATAATTACATAATTCTAAGATGGCAAAAATACTAATCTGTGTTAAAGGACAATGAGCACTATCCCAGGAATTAATCCCTTCCAATTTCTACTAATTTTGAGTCATGAATTTTATATTAAATATTACTTTAAAAATAACCATTTTTATGCCTAGACATACGATTCTGGATATCCTGAAGCTCAGTGTAAAAACCATTCAATTAATTTAGTTTGAAGGTAACTTATTCATAACTTACTAAAAGTTTGAAGGTAACTTTTTCATATGTACATCATTGGTGAAGGCATCTTCAGGAAAGACAAAGTAAAGAAACTAACCAGCTATGAGTCATACTTCTCTTTCAACATTCTGACCTCCCCTGAGCATCACTCAACACAGCCACCTGCCCCTTCAAAACTCGTCTCCCTTGCACTGCATTTCCCATTCTCTCCAGCTCATAAACACTATTTACCTGATTCATAAAACTCAAGTCTTTGTCTCCAGTTACAACTTGGGCAAAACGGTTCCAAAGTCTTCTCATGGTACTTTCGCCCTTGCCTAAATTATCTTCTCTTTGCTTCTCAAGCCAGCGAAATCTGGTGTTTAGAACATCTCTGAACAGGTTTTATTTCTGTCTATAGAATAGCCCTTCAATTCCTTTAAAAAGCAAAGAGTCATCTATGAGGAAGGGGTGAAACTAAAAAGCAAGAACTTTGCAAGATGTCCCTAGAGTCTAAATGGCATGCCCTAGGGCCTCAGAGCTGGTGCAAATGAATCATATTGGCCACCAATGATCCCAGAGTAACCTGCTGGAAGGCTTGCTACAAGAAAAAGGATGTAATGAATGGCTGACACAGATATTCCAGTTATCTAGAGGTTAGACTTTTCATTGTTATTGAATTGGCACTCACTCCCTTGAGCTTGTTTATTTGCTTTTTTGAGATGGAGTTTCACTCTTGTTGCCCAGCCTGGAGTGCAATGGTGCGATCCTGGCTCACCACAACCTCTGCCTCCCCAGTTCAACTGATCCTCCTGCCTCAACCTTCCGAGTAGCTGGAATTACAGGCATGTGCCACCACACCTGACTAGTTTTGTATTTTTAGTAGAGACAGGGTTTCACTATGTTGGTCAGGTTGATCTCGAACTCCCGACCTCATGTGATCCACCCGCCTTGGCTTCCCAAAGTGCTGGGATTACAGGTGTGAGCCACTGCATCTGGCTTAGCTTGGTTTTTATAAACTGAATTCCCTAAGCCTGGATCAACTCTGAATAAAGGAGAAAACTGGGTTTCTGGTTTTGTAAAAGAGGCACACTTGATGCTGGCTGACCCCATCAAGGGTCCATCTCCTCCTATTTCAAATATCTAACTCATGACACCTTTACCTGCTTCCTCTAAATATTTATTGAACACTTACTGTGTGCTGGTGCTTTGCCAAGAATTACAATATATAAAATAAATAGAGCAGAATACTTTCTATTAAGGTACTCTGACTTGCTGGAAAAACAAGTAATATGTGAAATAATAGAAGGCCAGTATAAAACCAAATATACCAAATTGCGCAGGCAAGACAGTGAGAGAGGGATACAAGAATGCTAGGAAGGCAGTGTGGGCCAAGAATGGATAGAATTTGGCTAAGAGAAAAATTCCTCAGTGAAAGGACAGAAAAGAACAAAGGGTATCTGACAATAAGTAAACCATCTTAATGACGTCCAAGATCCATGTCAGTGAATCAAAGAACAAGGTCGCTAAGATAAAAGAACCTTCACCTGAGGTCTAGATGGCCAGAGAAGTTGAGACTTGATAGGGAAGCAAAGGGAAGATCCTTAAATAAGAGGATAATGTCATGACATCAGCATGTGACCTATAAGTGCAATCTTCCTTCTGACTGGACTGATTAGATCAGAGAAAGAAAACCACAAAACCAGGAGGTTAGTTAGCAAGTTAATATACAATACAATATAAGCTTAGGGTCTTGGAAGTTTAGATTAATGGAAGAATGGGGTAAATAACTGCAAACAGCCAAGACATGAGATCTGGTGAATACAGAGATAAGATATTTCTTCCCTTTGCTTGCTAAGAATGCTTACCATTCATATGCTACTTAGTCATCAAATTGATTAGTCACCATAAATGATCATAATGATGGCCAAGGCACAGGAAGCTTGTAAAGTCCTGATACTTTTAGAGATTAATATGACAATTACAGACGTCATCCTTAGTGGTTTTATAAATTATATGCTGAAATTTAGTGATCCATCACAGTATACTTGGTAATTCTCTATAAATTGTAACTTCTTTTTTGAGCCACACTAGGTTAGAATTTACTGTACTTTCCCTTTATATCCCACTCCTGCTTCTGCATTTAGAAATGTAAAAGAAGAGTAAGAGAGGTCTTCGGGGGGCATTGAGTGATCTCAGAAGTGCTGGGCTAATGAAGGATCCCTGGCAGAGCTGGAGAAGGCATTCAGGTCCCTAAGCAGCTCCTGACTAAACAGCTCTTGGGGGAGGAAGAGGAAGCACCTCTGAGACTAGAGCAAGCCAGCACACACCTTCTTGAAGCTGTTTAGACCCTGTCTCCATCTGTTCCCCTTAACAGCTTCTTTCTGCAGAGGCGAAGCTCTCTCATCTTTTCTGGCTTGCATTACTTCCAGTTTGTTTTCATAAAGATCACTATCTTGGCCAGACACTGGGAAATAAGTGAGACGACAAATCTGGTTTTGATGAAAAAGAGACATTAAATGGGATGTTAGCCATGACCCAAGGGACAAGGAAACCCTTAAGCTCCATTGCCTCACTGATTTCACACCCACACTGAGATGATGGATCAAACACTCAGTATCCTGCCTTTAAAAGATGTCATAGAGAAAGGAAGAACTGCTCAGCACCATGCACAGACCCACTCAGTGGCCAGCCAGAAAAAGAACACATCCTTACATCCTATAGGTACATGTGCTAATAAAACATTCAGACAAAACAAAGGTATCCACACTTTCAAGTTTCCCCCTAAGAAATGCAACTGGACTATTATCACATGTTAAACCCTAATCTAATAGACTTTTGAGGGCTCTGCAGGTGTAGCAGTTATGATCCAAGAAGGCAGTGGTCCTGCCCCTTCTAGAAACAACCAAGACATGTTCATACTTTGCAGCCAGTCAATCATCTTGGGACCTGTGTCTCCAGTGGAAGAAAAAAGTTCATGCTCAAATGGGCTGGATGTCAACACCAGTTCTAGTTATTGTTAAAACTTTTATAATGAGCAAAAAGCTGTTTCTTTGCAACTAAAGCCTTTGGATCAACAAGGCCAGGAGGAAATTTCCCACCTTCCCATGTATTTTATAATGCTTTCTCTTTTCTCCATATTATACCGCACTTCTGACACTCCTTAAGGGTCAACAACTCTTAAGAAAATCTAAAGGTAAAGGAGTTTTCTGATTTCAGTATCATCTTTGAGCTCCCTACCTAGCATAAAGTCTGCGCCTGCCTCTCAGCAAGTGTAGCAAGTGTCATTTTATACTATAACTGCCAAAAGAAATCTGGTCAGAATACCTAACGTGCTTCAAGTCACCATGTGTACACAAGGAGTTAGGCTAGGCAAGATCTTCCTAAGCCTTCCAGCAACTCTACAAAGTGGGTCTCATCAACGCTTTTATAGATGAGGAAATAGACTTTTTGAGGTTAACTTGCCTAAGGTGGTACAGCCAGTAAAAGGCCATGTTAATATTCTAGCCAAGCTCTTCTAACCCAGGGCATCTTAATCTGAGATCCACGAGCTCTGTTCTGGGAACTGGGACAGGAAAATAATTACATTTTACTTTGCATTAACCTCTACAATTTAGCATGTTCCTTCAATTATGAATGTATGAACCACC